CTAATCTTAGTAATTACTATGCTACTACTATTTGTGATGCTAACTTGCACTTATTGTAATAAAGTTTTTAAAGATTAGTAGGCCTTGAATAATTATATAAGAATTCACTTGAATAATAGTTAGGAATCCACAATTTAATTTGATATTTAATATTTGATTTGAATTTGACAAATTAAATTCAAATTCAAATTTATATTTATTTGATTTAATCAAATTCAAATAATAGGTTTATTTGATTTGATTTGATTAATTTGAATTTAGTTATACATAGGACATATTATCAATAAATGTAAATAAATAAAGATTATCATTTTTTTTTTAATTATTGTATCAAAAAAAATCTTTACTTTATAAACTTTAAATATACATGTAAAAGCATCCTGCATTATAATTTCAAATATGTCATTAGAAATGGTAATTTTTAAATTTATATTTATATTATTTTAAAGTAAATTATATTAATTAAATATAAATTTTATTATTATAATTTATTATAGCGTACAGATACAGAAACTTCTGAAAAATCTAAATCTACTATTTGGAAGTATTTCACTAAAAAAAGAGGGCAAGACTATACTTATCAGCGGAATTGAATTTTTGATTTATGATAGACATAATTAAAATACCGTAATTTGCCGTAATTATATGTTTTATTAGTAAATATTTGTACTGACGTAATTGTTTTTGGCTATGCCGTAATATTTTAACATTGACTTTTTAATTCTACTGAGAAGTATAGGTAAGACAATAAAATTACTGCAAAATGCAATTATTGTAATGCCAAATATGTTGTTGTTAAAGCACAATAATAAATCTTTGGACATATATTAAAAAAATATATGTGTTTCTTCTTGGTTTATTAACTACTCAACATACATTAGAACAATTTGGTTTATCGATAAATAGTAACAGTGAAATTTTTACAGAGATAATTAATTAATAATTATATAACAGATATAAACTGATAATTATATTTAGTAAAAATAATTAAATATAACTTTTTTTTTAATATAGGCTAGTACAAAAGAAAATCTATGAAAATGGTTAACAAATTGGATTATTCTTAAAGATCTTTCATTTATAATTGTTAAGAGATAACTTAAATGGATTCTTAAAAAAGTTACTGGTGGATTTCATCTTGTATTTGTAAATACAATTAGATGTAATATTATACAATATCATATAGATATATAAACAATTATTCAAATAATTTTAAAGAAAACTTTAGGAAAATTATCATTATCATTAGATATTTGGACTTTAACTGTTGTCAAATCAATAACTGTACATTTTATTGATAATTCTTGGTACCTTCAACAAATAACTCTTGATTTTATTGAATTAGAAGATTCTTATACTGGAAAAAATATTGCAGAGAGCTAATTACAGTATTAAATTTATATGATATTTCAAAAAAAGTAAAGTAATTAATAACTATTAATTGCTGATTCTCATGTGATGGGTAGAAATTTTGTGTAACTATTGCGGGCTATGATTTATAATTAAAAATGAATACGTTCTGAATCTCGCGTTTTCCATTTTCAAAATTGTCAAAAGGACACTTTACTTCTGGAAAACTTGTTGCTATTAGTAACCTGATGCCAAAACTTCATTATGGCCCTTTTTCACGAGATTGGTGATATTATTCTGACTCCCAAATTCAAGATTCTAATACCTATGCTATTCCAATAAGACTCAGCTTTCAAGTTGCTTTAAAACTTAATCAAAAACACTTCATTATTAGAATAGTTCGCAACTTAGAAAATCCAAATACACCAGGTTTTATTTATAAAGGAGAAGGAATTAATAGTGGAGTTTGTTCTAGTTCTTCTGCTGCTATAAACACCATTTATGGACGCGTATTTGGTAATAAAAATAAAACAAAATATCCAGGAGCAACAATATTAGGTTTTCATGATTCTTATATGATTCAATAAATGCTCAATGATGTGGATTTTCATCCTTTTACAATTTGTTTATATAATATTACGATTTTTATAGCATCTATTCCAGATAATAATAATTATGAAGGGTTTGCAGCTAGTTTTATGTATAAATATAAACAAAAACAAAGTGTGATATGGCAGAAAATTGAGAGAGAATTATTTTCAATTAGTATTTTTCAAAATGGTAAAATGGTAAAACAATTTCAAGACATAACAGCTTTTTCAGTTTGGAATCAAACCCAATTATTACGAAATTGTGATGGGATCGATCTTTTTGGAATTAATCATCCACTCGTGCAGTTTAAATTTAAAGAATGATACGAAAGACTATTTTCTAAGACTTGCACTCTTGATGATTGGAATAATAAAAGAATTATGCAATACATGTTCAAATTATATCTAAAAAAATATATACCTGGAGATGATGAACTTTGGTATTGTATTTTAAATCGTTGGTATAATCAAAAAAGTACTATTATTGAAATAAAAAGCTTTATTCGTGATTTTTATAATAATAATCATGAAATTAACATGCGTGAGCTTTAGGCATAAAGAGTAATGCTTGAAGCAATTGGATGTAAAATATTACTCCATTTGAAAGGGACGTATCTGATGTAAGTATTATTATAAAATATTACTCCATTTGAAAGGGACGTATCTGATGTAAGTATTATTATAAGAAATATTACATTATTTATTTATTATCTAATTACAAAATATCCTATAGATGGAATTTTGGAGTCATGCTAAGGATCCTAAAAGGTAATATTGAAACAATATCCAATTTGTTTTCAAATGGATTTTTGAATACTACGCTAAATTCAACAATTAGAAATAACGAATTTGAAAATTGTAAAGACACTGCAAATGTTTTTTAGTATTCATTATGTGAAAGTCTTGATGCCAATACTAATGGTTCAAGTGGAAAAATTTGAATTTTATCAATAGTTGCGGAGAATTTCACTTATGAAGTATTGATGAAAAATTTACAGGTATGATAAATTATAATTGTATAATAATACATACTAAATAAAAAATATGACTAAATACAAAATTTTACTTAGGTTTCACTAAAAACAGTTCACGATGCTCGTAAACATCACTATAAAAATGGTTCAGGTTGTAAGGCTCTTGATAAACCTATTATTGTTCGTAAACGAATGGCTGAAGTTAAAGAAAGAGAATTTGAATTATTTTTTGCTGATAAAGCAAACGTGAATATGAGTTCATATCATATTAACAAAAAAACACAATTACCCGTTCTCTATCTTAAAGATCAAAAAAGTGTATTATGGGAAAGATTCTCAGCTATATATCCTGATGGAATGAAATAAACTTCCTTTATAGTTCATTTGCAAAATGGAAGATTCAAATATCATGATGACTTGGGAGGACTTTGTCTTATTTGTAATGATTATGCTTATCAACTATTTGAAGATTTGATTAAATTAGTATTAAATAATATTATAAATACGAAAATGAAGGTAAAAAAACATTGAATTACCCTATATTATACTTGTTTCATAAAAATTCTAATTATAAACAGTATTATTGTTAGAATAAATTGATAACTCAATTGGAAATGCTTCGCCGTCACTTAAAAAAAAATTATGAAAATGAATTATTAGTACACGATAATGGCATAACAAAACACGTGGATTATATAAATCACTGTTTACTGCACGCATTTGGTGAATGTGTAGAACAACACTTTTTACGTTGTGCAGCATGTGATGAACTTTTTGAAGTTTTTGCAACTTTGTCGCATTTATTAGGACATTCATATAATACATTACTTTCAGAATATCAGGAAAAACTCACCTGCTACCTGGCTCATCAAATACGAAAAATATATTTGAGTGCACAGTTCAATGCAGTGTTAGATAAATTAGATGATCATGAAGCTATCATAGTAGTTGATTACAAAATGCATATTCTTCCAGCAACAGCAAGAGAAACAAAAAGCAAATTTTTTGGCAAAAAAGGCTGAACATTTCACACAACTCTTATTTTTCAAAAAAAAAACAATGAAAAAATGGATGTCCAAGCATATGACCATTGGTCTTGTGATACGAAACAAGATGCCTGGTTTATGGCATCTTGTTTTGAAGCTGTATTTAATACCATAAGTTCTCGTCCATGTTGGATTAAAATCATTTCTGATAATGGTAGCTATTATCATAATTCTGAGCTCATGGCTATTGTAAGTCATTAGTATGATTGGTATGGAGTTGAGGTACGTGGGTGGATATTTTTGGAACCTGGTGAAGCCAAAACCACTGTAGATTCACACCATGCAACGGTATATTAGCTGTTGTTTTGTTTTTTATATATTTTTTTTTTTTATTCAAAATATTTATTTTTGTAAATAAAAAAGATTGCTCATGCAATAAAACAATATGTTCGAATTGGTTGTGAACTTACATCAGGTCAAGATATTGAAAGAGCAATAGAAGAATTGAGTGGAACTTCAGTTGCTCAAATTGAACCTAATCGGAATAAAAATAATGAAAATATGGTTTTAGAAAAATCATGGTATGAATAGTATATTACTAAATTTGTTAGAATTCCTTACAATCACGTTATTATTCTTTATTTCTCAAATATAGCAACACTAATTATAAAAAACTAAAACCATACCTGACATCTCCAAATGGTTTGTGTGGGATTGGCCAATAACTGAAGAGGCTGCAGGATATGTTAGAACAAAATCACTTCCAAATATTGGAAAATGAACAGAATTTTCACCCACTGACATAAATACATTTTGTGGTAAAATAAATCATCCTAATCCTAAATATACAACACCAACAAAGCCAAAAATACCATGGTTAACATCATTGTCAATGAAAAAAGGTATGAAAAAATTACTTAAACGTGATGAAATGCAAAATTCACCAACTCCAATATCAAATCAAATGGGATAAGTTTGAATTTCTATATTTTATAAAAAAATAAATAAATAAAAATAAAAATACTAACAATTCAAATATTGATAGGGTTGATACAGAATTTCCACTGAAACCTGGTTGGGCATTAAAAGAAAATTAAAAAATGGGTAATAAAGAAGGAGGTAAACGTATAAACAAGAAAGTTATACAATACTTGCAGGCTTATTTTCATGCAGGTAATCTCAATCCAAAAGACCGATACATTGCTGAAAAAATGCATGAAAGTTTGAAAGAGTTAGCACATGAAAATGAACTTAGCGTTAAAGATATTCTGGAAGTAAAAACAATAAAGAGATGGATAGAAAGGTATAGTGCCTTCTCTAAAAAAAAAATGTCCAAAAAAGAATTGGAGCAATGTGCACTTGAAGAAAGTAGTTTAATTATGAATACTACTCACAATAGAGCTAGCAAGCGGCAAAAAAGAGGCTAAATTTAAATATTTTAAATTTTTTGAATCTCATTATATGTTGAAAAGTACTATGAAATCTGCCGTTCCCTTATATAAAACTTTTTAAAATAAAATGAAAAAAAAACTTTTTATTATTTTAGTGGCTTTTCGGATATGTGATAAATGATGTAATTTAATAACTACTTTTAGTAACGAATGTGTCAAATTTTTTGGTTAGTGCAAAATGATGAAATTAGTGGTGATCTATATTAATAGCCTCACGTTTCACTATGTTAATTTTTACCCATTATATACGGATTGGCAATTAAATTATTTTTATTGTAACTAAAATAATGTTTAATTTTTTGTAGATTAATAGCATTACTACTGATAATGCTTCTAATAATAATATTATATTTAGTTATTTTGAATTGTGGGCAAACGATAACACTATTGATTTTTCTGGAAATAATCAGCAATGTTGATATTTTGCACATATTGTAAATCTTGCAGTTCAAGCCATATTAAAGGAACTAAAACCAGAAATTGATAAAATTCAGAATTTTATTGTCAAATCCCATTTATCATCACAACGTTGTAAAAAGTTTTTGGAAATTTCTAAACTTAATGGAATTAATGATCTATTACCTATTTTTGTGTTGGAATTTTACATATGATATGGTTAAGCGAGCTTTAGATTTAAAAGTAGGATGTTTATAATATTTAATTTATTACAAAATAAAATAAATAATAAATTTACAACATTTTTTTTGCAATTAGGTTTTTAATAAAATTATATTAGCTAGTGAATTTTCAGACTTAAATAATATTAAATTAAGTCAATCTGATTGGACATCTCTGGAAAATATTGCAGCATTTTTACGGTATTTTGCTAAACTTTCAACTGAAATATGTGCGTCAACATATCCTACAGTTAGTACAGTATATCTAATGTATAATCTTTTTATGGGTTATACTGAAAAAAAATGAATAAAGACAAAACTTCAAATAATATAGCTTTAGCAGCAAATGTAGCATGGAATAAACTTTATAGGTATTATAATAAAGCATCTGAAAAAACACATTATATTGCTACAATTCTTGATCTTCGCTGAAAAATCAAATATTTTAAGGACTTGAAAGATGAGAAAAATGGAAACGACAATATATATTATAAAAATACCAAAAAAATGTAAGTTAAATTGTTAAATTTTCAAAAAATCTACATGAGAAATTTTTAATTTATTTATTATTTTATTTTAAATTTAGATTTACATATAAATTTGATGAATATCATTCCATTTATTATCCAGTTTCAGAAACTTTAAATAATAGTTTGGGTGAGGATAAGAATAGTGAAAATTCTTTATTTCCAGTTCCTAAACAGTTTGTAATAATAATGGACATAATGAGCTCAATAGTTACTTCAATAGTACTTCAAAACTAGGAACAATTAATGTACTAGAATGGTGGAAAAGTCATGAAAGTAATTATTTTACATTAGTGAAAATAGCACAAAATTATTTGGCTATACCAGCAACTAAAGTTTTGAATGATAGAGTTTGGAATCAATTAAGGTTAATCGATTAATTAATCGACTAAGATGGTTAATCGATTAAGGTATCTCAAAAATCGGTTAATTGATTAAAATTATCAACTCATTATTCTGGTCAAATTATCTAATGCGGCCCAGAGCTGTAAATTTTTGGTTACGTATTCTCTGAACTTGGAAGAATTTGTATTAATTTTTTAATAATAATATAATAATAAATAAGACTTTCCTATAACTAAATGTATGATTAAAAACAATTTGGTGCAATCTGCGGTCAAAAAAAAATTTTTAATATTTTAATATTAATTGATTATTAATCGATTAGGACTCTTAGTTAATCAATTATTAATCAATTAAGGTTTTTTTGATCAGTTCTAACTTCTACTGAACAGTTTGGTTCAGTTCCATTTTTCAATTCTTTTCTGATTAGTCAGAATTCATTTTGCACAATAAGCCAATAACTCGCTATTCAGAACTATTCCTAGTATTACAAATCAGTAAAATCCAAGTAATTTGATATAAATAAACAAAAATTTACATTTTGCATATTAAAAAACGTGTTTAACAATTTTACAGTATTTTATTTAATTTTTCAGGTTATGCTAAAAAAAAATTTGTATTAATAAAAATCATCTGTAATAATGTCATAATACATTAATTGAAAACAAAAATCAAAATAAATTAAATTAATAAAAAAAAGATTAATATAATTAAGAAATAAATAAATGCAATATTTCATTCAAGATCCAGATTATCTGTTTATCTAGGATTACTAAAAAGAGAAGGAAAACATTAACTACGTTTCTAGAAAGTATAAAGATTAAAAAAAAAATGAAATAACCTACCATATTTTGTTCGTTTAAGATCCATTTATCCAGGATTGTTAAAAGATAATTACATTTTCAGAAAGTATAAAAATCAAAAAAAAAAATGAAATAACCTACCACATTTTGTTTGTTTAAGATTCATTTATCTAGGATTGCTAAAAAGAGAAGGAAACATTAATTACGTTTTCAGAAAGTATAAAGATCAAAAAAAGAATAAAATAATCTACTACATTTTGTTTGTTAAGATTCAGGTCGGCCATTATTCAGGGTTACTAAAAAGATAAAAGAAACGTTAATTACATTTTCAGAATGTATAAAAATAAAAAAAAAGAATGAAATAACAGGACCCACTTACTTATAATAAAGGTCACTGTAGAAAATTAGCTTTTATTAATAGTTTTTACCTTACTTTTTTCTTAAATTCTATTGGTTAATTAGTTAAAAAGAAAAAAAATCATAACAATGTAACATAAAATTTCCTTTTATAGTAGGATCTGCAAAGAATTTTATATATGATTTTTATCTTAGGCTTGAGATGATCTATCTTATAAGTAAGCGGGTCCTGAAATAACCTATTATATTTCATTTATTTAAGATTTAGGTTGTCTTTTGTCTGTTCGTTCAGAATTGCTAAAAAACGTTAATTACGTTCTCTGAAAGTATAAAAATCAAAAAATGAATGAAAAAAGAATGAAATAACTTACCATATTTCATTCAAAATCCCAGTCATTTGGCTTCATCTGTTCGTCCAAGTCTGTTTCTGAAAAAAAATGAAAAAAAGAAATTTTGTTAAAATTATTATAGTTGATTTTATTTATTTTTGCAAATCGGCAATTTAAATCAATATTGATTTTTAAACAAATAATCAATTGTTTATGACGAATTTTATTTGCTTGGCAGGTTCAAATTTTATTGATATTAAGAAAAAAGAAAAAATGTAAAAAAAAAGTTTTTTTTTAAAAAAAAAATAAAATGACTTACCAGTTAACACATTTCGTTTAAGATCCAGTTGTTCTGCACTGTAAAAAAAGTCATTCCTTTTTTTATATTCCATCTCTTTTCTGTAAAAGGCTCATATTTCTGAAATTAATAACTCTATATCACGGAATTTATCAAATTATTTACAAATAGATCTGTGAAAAACCCATTTTTACAGAATTTTACAGAAATAACAGATAAAGTTCTTTATAATATGGCTTTATCTATTCATTTAGGTTCGCTAAAGTAAAAGAAAAAGGAAGCGTTAATAATATTCCCTGAAGTAAAAAAAAAATGACAAAAAAAAAGAATAATTTATCTTGCCATTTGTTTGAGAGTTGTTCATTTGGCATTTGGACTTGACAAGCTAAATGCTTTATCTGATTAAATTTAAGAAATTTCCTATTATATTCAATAACAACTGCTTTATTTGAGAAATCTGTATTAATTAATAACGTTAATAACGTTAATAATTATTTAGAAGGAATTTTTTTAATTTTTTAAAAGGAGATACAGTAGCAGATCATACTAAAAAAAGTTACATAACATCAAATCAAATTCAAATTTAAACATATCAAATTTGATTAAATTCAAATTTAAAATAAACTAATCAAATCAAATCAAATATCTGATTTGAAAAATCAAATTAAATACAAATTGACTATATATTTGATTTGATTTTGTGAAACCCTAACTATAGTAATATGTCTGTTTATAATTTTATATGAATTTTGATGAATTATTTGATTATGATTCTGATCAAGGCATTTATTACAGAAAAATAATTATTTAATTGATTTGATACAATATATTTGTTTAATATTGCTAAATTAAAAATGATTTTTTAAATTTAATTAAGGTTTTATTAATAGTAAAAATAACAAAATATTTCATTAAATCTCACATTAATTCAGTAGTATAACTTTAAATCTCAAAATTAATCATATCTTTATGGATGTTCTTTACTAGAATTTACAGAAATCCATAATTTTATTGATATAGAAACTATATAGAATATTGTACAGTTAGTTCACATTATAACGAATTTGATGTTCATACTGATTTGACCTTTATTATAGAAAATTCAGTAACATTATAACAGATTTTTTTGACATCCATATAGCAAAATTCAGAATATTGTATAATGAATTTTTATTAAAAATTTATTAATATTTTAAAGTAAATTTATGTAAATAAATGTAAATTATAATATATTTATTATATAATTTATTATTAAATGTAATACAATTATTATATTATATATTGTAAATATTAATAAAATTAAGAAATATTAATAAAATCATTAAGATTCATCTGTCTCACAGAAATAAAATGTCTCTTTTTTAAGTTTTTTAATGCATCTTATTTTTTCTTTTTTCATATTGATTTATTTTCTTATTATTTTAGATACAAAATCACCTTATCATAATGTTCAATGGCCTCGCAGGACCCCAGACATCACATATATAACTCATAAACTGATCTGCATGAATTTAGCACTTTTTGCTCCTGCTAAAATAGACCTAATTTGCTAAAAATCAAATTATCACATTTTAAATCTATACTAATTTACTAAAACTCAAAATATGAGTATAACTNAAATAGACCTAATTTGCTAAAAATCAAATTATCACATTTTAAATCTATACTAATTTACTAAAACTCAAAATATGAGTATAACTTTTTAGCAAATTGGCCTAAATTTCAAAAAAAATCACGTTTTTTGCGATTATCTCGGCATCCAGTGGTCCAGTTTATGCGAACTTTTTTTTGTTTTGTAGCCCTTATCGAGCTCTACAAATTAAAAAAAAATCCGCATAAATCGGATTACTGGATGCCGAGATAATCGCAAAAAACTGAAAATAAAAAAAATGTTGCGAAACTAATCGGACGGTTTTTGGCCTGCATTATGCTTAATTTTGGCCGGAATTATACCTAATTTTGGGCAAAATATAACCCGGACCCCGAAACTAATATTTTTAAAATATTATCAATAAAAGTTAAAAAAAAGGATAAGTTAAATTCAAAAAAAAGTACCAATTTGCTCAAATATAAAATATAACTTTGTAAAATCAACACAATTTGCTAAAACTCATAATTATGACTTTAATTAATTTTCAATCAATTTGCTCTATCTAAAATTATGAGTTTATCCTAATTTTGATTGAATTTGCTAAAACTCAAATGTGAGTTATATATGTGATGTCTGGGGTCCTGGCCTCGCTATGAATAATGGATGGTAAAGAATCAAAATTTAGTTCTTCTATCCCTTATTCATAATTATTGGAAAGAACTACTTTCAAAATTTCTTTATTAAATATCATTTCTGTTATAAGTTTAGATTCATCACATTGAATAAATTCATCAGCAATTAAGGATTTTTAAGATTAAGTTTATCAATTAAATTTTAAACTTCTTTCAGCTCATTTGTATATGTTAGAAGAACTTGTGTTTCAGCATAGAAATCCATATCAATTTCACTTTCATTATCTTTAAGTAAAATATTTGCTTTTAATCAGCAATTTTCAATAGTAGATTGAGTAACATTATCCTATGCATATATGACATGTGACATATTTGATGCACTTTTTAATATTAATTTCAACAGAATTAATGCCAAATTTATTATAATTATCAAAGGCTTTAATATGATTTCACAATAATAATTTTCGGTATTGTGCCTTATGAATTCAACTATCTTGAAATTGTTAATGATCCCTTGATCATATGGCTAAAGGTGTTAAGTAGTATTTGGAAGAAGGAATTCAATTTTAATATTAGTTAATTTTGTATTTTCATTGAAAGAATGAGTTGGTACATTATCAACAAAAAAAATAATATTTTAGTTCTATGCTCTCATTTGAGCATCAAGTCTTTTAAAATATGCATTTTAGATCAATACTTATATCTAACTTTTTGAATTCTAATAATAATTTACTGGAAGAGTAGTTTTGTTAATATTTTTTAGAGCTCAGAGAGGATCCTGCTTACTTATAATAAAGATTACCTTAGAAAATTAGCCTTTTACTAATAGTTTTTACCTTACTTTTTTCTTAAATTCTATTGGTTAATTAGCTAAAAAGGAAAAAAATCATAATAATGTAACATAAAATTTCCTTTTATAGTAAGATCTGCAAAGAATTTTATATATGATTTTTACCTTAGGCCTGAGAGTGACCTATCTTATAAGTAAGCAAGGTCATGCCCAGGGATTTTTATATTTGTATATAAATAAGAATGCAACTTTTTAGTTCCAGTTGCATTACAAGTAAATAAGACCATTTAAAGATGTAATATGTAATTATTTTTAGAAAGTTGTAAGGTTGCAACTATTACAACATACTACATACAACACTTTTGTTGTAATTACAACACAATATTATAATCGTTATATAATATTATAATTACTACTAGTATTATAATTATTATATAGTGTTGTAATTATTTCTAATTATATAAATATGTATTATAATATATTAATCATTTTTTTTATAATGATATTTGTTCTATAAAAACTTATTTTTGTAATTTTATTTTTCAAAAAAGAAATTTTTGAACAATCATAAATGTTGTAATATTAGGCCAGTTCATAATTTTGATCAGCATTTTTAATCAGGTTACATTAAATTTCACAATCAACATTCATAATTGAAATGCTTGATCACATATATTAATCTATGAATACAAAAGTTGTCGTGTAGTCATTACTTTTATTCTTATAAAGTATAATTAAAAATTTACAGCAGTTAAAATGTTTAAACACAAAAAAATAAGGGAATTATTGTCTTTTTATGTTATTACAGTTTGTCAAGATATGGAAAATGAAGATTTATTTGAGGAAGAAGGTGATTTA